ACATAGGATATTGTTCGACTCTAAAAATATATAACGTCTAATTATTTTGTAGCATAATAACATAATATTACGCCTTTTATCCCTGAAGGGGTAGGCAGAGGTGCGCATTACCTGCGGCACTTAATGCCACTGTACAATGTAACACCTACTTTTCACTATTGATGTTATGCGTCCCATGTAATAGGGGGTGAGTCTATTGCCATTATTTTGTAATCTTATGAAATTAATTTGGTTGACGTGTAAAAGTGCTGTTTTGGTTATTTACAGAATCAATTAATTCAATTTAATTTTTATGAGAATGTTACATAGATGGTTCGTCATCTGCTAGAAATTGAGTACTCGCCAACTAGTCAAATTCAATACTTATTTCGAACTGTCAAAAACGACAGTTTTCTATGAATTTTGTACGAGATTGTGTATTGTGACGTCACGTTTTTTTAGAGTATTTAAAAAAAAATGCTGTAAAAATACGAAATTAAATTGGTCATAAAAACAATTAATGAAAGTATGATTATTATACAGTCGAAATAATATATTTTGACTAAGGAAAGTACCCAATTGTGTCCACTGCTGAAAAAAGTCTCTCACGTAAGGGTTTAGCTTACTCCCTGAACTTGACAGATTGCTTCACAATTTTCAGTCACTGATAATTTAGTTAAAGACCTTCGTTGCCTATCTCTAGGTGACTAGTCGTAGGACATGCTCAGGACAATGTTACTAAACGTACTTAATAATATTATAAATACAAAGTGACTTTGTTTGTTTGTATGTATCTTTGTTTGTTACTCTGTCACGTCAAAACGGCTGACGGTATCGAGATGAAATTTGGAACAGGGATAGATTATGGTCTGGAATAGCACATAGGCTGCTTTTTATTCCACAAGAATGCGGGTGAAGCAACTGGCAGAAGCTAGTATTATATAGATGTCGCGAAGAACCTAACGGGTAACCGGGGCTCCGGCTCGACGTGCAGGAGAAGGAACGGGGTGGTTTTTAGTCAGTAAGAGTCTGACACTTCCTCCCGCCTCACCCAGGCGGGAGCAGTTATTCGATGATTTTCCCCCCTTAAAAAAAAGTATTATATACATACATGACAATATTAACAAAAGTGACGAACAGTAATTATTGTGCGTATTTATTCCCTTATTTACATTATCGTGTGCGTAATATTCAAGTCTGTCTAAACAAAACAAAATTACATCAGAATAACCCGATACAATCATTGAATGAGTTCAATAAATTCACTTATTTCATAAAATTGATCTTTTTGAACCGCTCAATCACTTGTATCACAACACTAGTCATTGTCTATGGTACTACGCCGCCATATTGTTTACAGATAAGATGTACATACTCTGTGTCTATTATTTAACTATTTAGCTTTACTTTCTGATATTTTTATTGAAGTAACCATTAGCTTTTTATATTTATAATTTTAGAGAATTATAAATTATCCTACTGGACTGCTCATTTCCTAAGGATGATTTAATTTTATTTTGGGTATACCTATGCGTTTAGAGTTTAAGAGACATCTAATTTACTTGGAAAACATCATATTTCGGCCTGACAAATTTTAATCCTGCGCATATTAGGTACATTAGTGGCAATGCGAAACAACCTAAGGTGCGTAAATAATGACCGTTTTCATCAACTTTTAGGGGATATTTTAAATCTGAGATAAGCCTAAGATAGGTGACTTTTAACGACATTTTGATCCCTAACCTAACAAGTAAGGGGTTAGTTTAGGTACTACTTCAGACTATGTAATTTATAGTTAAGATATGGTTTACGCAAGAGTGTTGAAAAAAGGCGGACGTAGGTAATATCATTTAGAAATGATTGAAGCACCAAAATGCCAGTGGGTTATTTATGTGTGCGTGTGTAATGGGCGACCACGTTACAAGACCTAAGAAAATGACAGATGTCCTTCGTGTCAATGTGTGTGTATGTTCTGCGTGTTAGTCTATAGTACCCAAGTGTCACAGTAGTTGTTTCAAGAGACTGTGTCTACCTTTTTACAACATTCTTGGGTTATTACGCATAGTTGGTGAATACAGCCATAGAGAATTTTAAGAAACGAAGATACTTCATACATTAACTACACTGCTTTTTTACTAGATACATTCGTTTTTTGAAACATAGACATGGACAACTGTCACTTTACCTTTTTAAATTTTGATGTGTTTTTTTTATTAGTATTTTCTAATATATAACTAAACAGGTAATACTGTAGAGTTACCATTAGCATTGTAAAAATATTCAAATTATTCTTAATTGAATTGTAAGTACTTAAAATTGGTATATCATTTGTTTTAACGTACAGAAATATATACTTTGCATCTACATTTTTTATTCATCTATCTACATAGTTGGTATTATAAAATTGCGAAAAAACCGAGGACATATTCAGTTTAGTGTCTCATAATAGGTAATTATAAATGTTATTAATTTAAGGTCAGGGTAAGACAATGCCTAAACTTATTAAATAAGACTTTTTATTGTGGTCAAAACAGGATCTAATCTTTGTTTTGAAATCTGTTTCTATCTTCGTGGATACCACTAACTACACAGTATTATAGGTTGGGAGAAGTCCCTTAACGCCGGACGGCACCTAACACTTGTGTTATCTCGGCTTAGTAGCGGTTTCGCCCTAATTTTGTTCGCCCGAATCGGGCGAATGAACTACTTTCAATTTTGAATATTTTTTAGGGCCGGTTTCGCCCGAGACAAATTTAATAGCGGGCGAATCAGGTCAAGTAAAATTTAGTAATGGACTATTCGCCCAAATACTATTATACCTCA